TCCTGCTGAGACGTCTTCAGTGAGCCCTTTGCTGCCCATGTCACCTAAAATAATTCCCTCCCGTCTGGCTTTCTCGGCCGTGCGTGTTCTCATCCCACTTACTACATGTCTACGCCTTTGTCCAGTCTTCCCTGCTCCTCTAGGGTCTTTTTAAGGAACCGTATCTGATTTGTCCAGGGCTCTACCTGTCCTTGCTGAAGGGAGTCTGGCACATGAGGCGTGTATTAAATGAACGAATAGCAGAATGTTCACCTCCAGGACGGCGGCAGCTGCACTGCCTTCTAGGGACACTGGGAGCCCGCTCTGCTCGTTGAGTGGTGCTTCCGGGATGAGAGGTGCTGTCGGGTTTCTTACCCCGCTCCCTCTTTAAGCTCTATCGTGAGGCTAAAGTAGGGATGTTCTGGCCTAAACTGTGCAAAACTATCCAACATGAGTGTTTCAAAGAGCAGGCAGGAGTGGCAGAAGGTGTTACAAGTCCACTTAGACAAAGTCTGTGTGTGGAGAGGTTTCTCAGGGGCTGTGTGTGGCAAGTGCAGAGAAGGATGATAAAAGAAATACAAATGAAGTTGCATGCCCAGGAACATTTTGGGAGTCCAAACAATATAATTTATACGTGGAAACAAAAAATCATCAAGTGAGGTAGGATTTTCTGTCACTGTAAGAGCCTTCAAAAGGCATGACGGCTTTGACCAAGACAGTCCTTAAATGCATTAACCAGCAATTTCAGGGAAGAAAACCGAATACTCCCAGATGATAGAGAATAAACATGGCCGTACAGATCGGGTTTGATCTTAGTGTCTCCTGATTCCAGAAACAATGCCAGGGAAAAGGATCGCAGTGATTGGTGCTGGGGTCAGCGGGCTGGGAGCCATCAAGAGCTGCCTGGAAGAGGGGCTGGAGCCCATCTGCTTTGAAGGGAGCAATGACATTGGAGGGCTGTGGAGATACGAGGTGAGTCTGGACGGTCTCAGCTCCCACGTGTGGACATGTTTCTCCCACAAACGGGAAGCAGGGATGCGAGGCCTGCAACACAAATACAGTACCAGCGTAACAATGATAATAATAATTGTAATATTTATCTATTAATTGAGATTTATAGAGAAAGAAAGATACCGGTGACAGAGTCTCACCACACCTATCCTCTCCACGGCCTCCCAGACAGCTGGAATCACGGGTGTGAATACGTTCAAATTGACCCAGGATTTGACCCAGGCCTCCCATGTGGCTCCATGTGGCATGCTGATTTGCTAAGCTCTCCAACAGTTCTCTGGCTTTCCATGTCTTTCATTCTCTGTATACCCAGTTCCCTGAATTATATCTCCTGTTTCACACTGAGTATAGTTTCCAGGTTCCCAGTTCACCCCGACCAATACAGAAACATCTCCAGGAAAGCGTGTCGAACTCCTCCGTGACGTCCGAACACCGTAATCCGCATATCATTATTTCCTGCCACTTGGCATGAAATTGTTGCTCTCCATGTACCGTTTTTAAGGTATTTATGTGACTTATTTAGTCCTCACAGCACCTCAGGCAAGGACTTCTTTTTTTTTTTTTTTTTGGAGAGGTTTTTGCTATAGGGCGCATGCGCTCGCCAGTCAGACAGAGAGAGACATAGAGACAGAAAGCGAGAAATCGCCCCCCAGGGGGATGGTCACGCTGCAATCCCTTCTCCTCCATTCTCCTCTCGGCATCTTGGGCATGCACGCACACGTGCCCGGCGTGAGTTCTAAGCCACCGGGTCCGGGACGCGAACCGTGGTCGACTATGTGGGAGTCCAGCGACATAGCCATTACGCTAACTGCTGGTTCCCCAGGCAAGGACTTCCTTATAGCTGAAGAAATAGACTTGGAAAAATGATTTAGCATCAGGCTCCTTTTCCAAGTCATGCAGTAATGATATGTCTCCTGGACCACATCAAGTACCGCACCACATCATCTGATTTCTTTAGGGATACTCCTATTTTAAGCTGTCACGTATAAAAAGTGCTGGTCATCTTTTCAGAGGCTCAACTCCTTTGCAAAACACTTGTGCCAGGGCCAGCAGGTGGCATGGTGGTTCAGGTGCTGGACTCCCCCATGGCCAACCACCTCGAACCTGGTCAGCTTGCTTTCTTGCTTTCGCTCTCTCTCTCTGGTGAGCACACATGCCCTCTAGCAAATAATAATCATAATAATGCATAAAATTAAATAATTTTTAACAAAATAACACTTGCCCCTAGCTTCTGTGATTTCTCTCTTTTGCTCCCAGCTTTTCCTTCTCAATATTATCCCACTTGATCTCTTAAGGTAGTTGGTTGTGACTTTATTCTCCATCTTTTTTTTTATCAAGAAGAGTACTTTTGGGAACCAGCAGTTAGCGTAATGGCTATGTCGCTGGACTCCCACGTAGTCGACCGTGGTTCACATCCCAGACCCGGTGGCTTAAAACTCACACCGGGCACATGTGCATGCGTGCCCAAGATCCCGAGAGGAGAATGGAGGAGAAGGGATTGCGGCGTGGCCATCCCCCCTGGGGGGTGATTTCTCGCTTTCTATCTCTCTGTCTCTCTCTGTCTGTTTGGCGAGCACACGCGCCCTATAGCAAAAACCTCTCAAAAAAAAAAAAAGAGTACTTTTGAATCTGAGTGTAACAATATAATGGCTTTTATTGACCACGATGCTCTTTACATAGAAGAAAACACGTGCTTTGATCTGTTCTTAAGCTGGTATAAGGGTTTAGCAGAAATTAGACTCCAAAATCTGTGGTTTTAAGTTTAGAATATTTAAATACACACATTACTGACCCTTTACTTCACTAATACTACACACAAGATACAGAAAAATATGGGAACCAGCAGTTAGCGTAATGGCTATGTCGCTGGACTCCCACGTAGTCGACCGTGGTTCACATCCCAGACCCAGTGGCTTAAAACTCACACCGGGCACATGTGCATGCGTGCCCAAGATCCCGAGAGGAGAATGGAAGAGAAGGGATTGCAGCGTGACCATCCCCTCTGGGGGGTGATTTCTCGCTTTCTGTCTCTATGTCTCTCTGTCTGTCTGGCGAGCGCACGCACCCTATAGCAAAAAAAAAAGATACAGAAAAATATTAAGACCCCCCCAAAATCATGTTTTATGTGTATATATATTAAAATAATGTGTTTGGGTTTTTAATAAAACTTTTTAGGTAAAAATAGCACATTTTCAATGGTGGTGTGTTTTTCTTTCACCTTAATTATTTAGATAGCTAGTCTTTTTTTTTTTTAAGCGAGATTTTTGCTATAAGATATTTGAGCTTGCCAGAGTGATGGAGAGACAGAAAGCAAGAAAGTCGTGATGTATTTTTCTGTTTTTCTGTGCAAAAATGTTCCATGAGACTTTCCCCACAACCCAGTATGTCATGTGGACTCCTACTGTAACTTGGAAAATGAAGATAACGTGTTTAACAGGATTGAGTTAGGTAATGTGTGTGAAAAAACCTAAAACTACCAAGCACTGTAAAGTGCTGAACCACTATGCACCTATTTGTATGTGTACAGATAAATAGATAATATATAGGGAGAGATCCTGAAAGATCGAGAGGCTGAGAACAGAAAGGTAGACATTACAAGATTTAAAGTGGTGATCACAAACGATATGTCTTACTATAACTTTCCATAAGATTCTAATAAGTATGCTCCCTTATAGTTAGAAAAACCAATTAAAAGGGAAGGAAGGGGAGCCCCTAGCCTGGTGATTAAGGCAGCTGGATCCCCCATGGCCAACCTGGACCTGCTGACTTGCAAAGCATGCCAGGAACATGCACATGCATGCTCCAAATTCTGAAAGTAGCGAGAAACGCAGAAGGAACTGAAGCGTGACCGTTCCCCATGGAGGAAGGGGAGACTCACTTTCTCTCTTGCTCACTCTCTGACAAGCAAACACAAGAGGCGGATGTGAATGCCAGATGTGGTGTGTGTGGAGGAGAGGGGCCTGGGGAAGAACATTTGGAGGAGGGATACGGAGACAGCATTGTTGAGACAGGGAGGTAGTGTCGTTATATTTTGATCAACTCGACCGGGGAGAAATGTTCATATATTGAAATGATCACCTTGTAAGCTAAATAATGTGATTGAATGTATTAAAAAAAATGTAAATTAAAAAAAAGTGGCGAAGAACATATGGCCTAGTGGTTAAGGGGTCTGGATCCCCCATGGCAAATTATGCTATTCTCTTCCGGCCTCAGGCTTGACAAGCATCCCAGGCAAGTGTGCATGTGTGCCCATGATCCTGACAGGTCGAGAAAGGGAGAAGGGACTGCAGTATGACCATACCCCACTGGAGAGTGCTTTCCAACACTCTCTCTTTCTCTGTCTCTCTCTCTCTGGCTAGCACACGTACCTTCTGTCAATGTGTTTTTTCTTTTTAATGAAGTTTAACATAATTATGATCCCTGTCTTTTTCTATCAGCCTCTACAAATAATCCAGGCCTTCTTGGAATTTCCTTTTTCCATGACATTCCGGCCTGGTCTCTCAGTTCAGAACTCAAAGGCCCATCAATCTCTGTGGGCAGAGAGATGCCCGTATCCTCCTCTGCTTGTTTTGTGCTCTACATTTTATGTTTGCTCCACTACGCTTTTCATTTCAAATTCTCTTGATCTTCTCTTCATAGCCTTTTGTTCACTTCCCAACAATTTTTTCTTTTTAATGTTTTAAAGCTATCTACCACAAGGTATTTTATCTCTTAGTGAAGATAAGAGAAAATCAACTTTCATTGAAAGAATTCAGGCCAGGAGCCTGGTAATACAAAGAGATTTATTTGTACACTGTTACTCTTCTGAGAGGCGGTGTTTTCCTCTCTTGGTAGGAGAAGGCTGAAGGCAGCAGGCCAAGTATCTACAAATCTGCCACCAGCAACACGTCAAAGGAGATGACGGCCTACAGTGACTTCCCTTTCCCTGACCACCTTCCCAACTACTTGCACAACTCCAAAATCATGGAGTACCTCAGGATGTACGTCCAACACTTTCACCTTATGAAGCACATCCGGTTTCTGGTGAGTGGGTGGAGACCTCGCTCTGGTGCAGGTGGTCTCCTCTTAGTAGAGTGGAGAGGCAGGGCCAGAGTGCAGGAGCAAGGTGTCCAGTCTCTGGGTGGTTTAACACTATGGGCTTCACCGTATAGGAAAGCTCTTCAAAAAGCTTATGGGAAAACCATGCATGAACTAAAAAGAAGACCTTTGCACCAAAATAAATTTGTACTTTAATTCCATTTTTCCACAAACTCTTTGAAGTCCCCTCATACCATACCAAGTGATGATAGCAAGGGTATGTCTCCAAACTTCCTTTAAGAAAAAAAGTGTAGTAGAGTTGCTAAAGCACCATGGACAGTTAGTGTAGACTCCTCACTGACTACAGCCAGAATCCCAGGTGGAATAAACCAAACAATGGCTTTATTTAAAGAGGCATTGGGCAAGAAATATTTTTTTAAAAGTTTATTTAGTTATATTTTCCTTTTTTAATACTTATTGTAATTTCTGACTCACGTATAATCATTATATATCTTTGTGGGGAATAGTGTAATTTTTCAAAGCATGTATGCACAATGAAATAATCAAATCAATGATGTAAACTTCAAACAGTTTATGGGAAAACTTCGTGAATTTTGAAAAATAATTTGGGACCAAAATAAACTCATACTTTATCTCCAGCATTTATTAGCATATTATGCTATTCATATGTGAAATACACTCTATTAGTGTCTTGTGTGGAAATATGTATTAATCACTAACATTCTTTACTATGGGTTGTCAGAAGAGTCATGATGCATTTTTGCATAGAAAAACACATCATGACTGTTCTAGTGATTCAATATAACCTATTCTACTTGTTTACAAATAGATATATAATTACATGAAAGAGAGAAAATTCCCAACAGGCTCCACATGACACGATCCAGCCCCATCTCAGCCAGCCCAGATCATCAGTGTGTGTGTGCTCACTCCACGCAGAGGTCCCACAACATGAACCTGAGAGTTTCCCAAGTGGGTCCAGCATCAGGGAGCATGGTATTACTGCCATGCCATCAACTGGCCCAGAAGGGGAAATAAGTTCTGAACTAACTACTTTATGAAATTCTGAAGAGTAGGACAGGCAACCTCATTCATTAAGGCCAAGAGTTCTTGGAAAGGAGGGCAACTGGGAAGAGTGGCACGGCTCTGAGTTTGTGTTGTTCCCAGTCAAAGGTATGCAGTGTGAGGAAGCGCTCTGACTTTTCCTGCACGGGACAGTGGGATGTGGTGGTTGAGGCTGAAGGGAAGCAGGAATCCTACATCTTTGATGGGATTATGGTGTGCAGTGGCCTCTATTCCGATCCGTTCTTACCACTCGAGAACTTTCCAGGTATGTCATACGAATGCTAAGGCCCTCTTCTCGTGAAGTCTTGTTTTTGCTTCTATTGTTCTGAAAAGTATTTAGAACTTAAAATCACCTTATTTTCACAGTAAATATTACCTTTTATGATTATAAAGTAATATATTATCTTTGAAATTTCGTTCAAACAATATATTGTATTATAAAACTGAAAATAAAAATTACTAATATCCCATCACCACTACTTCTGGGCTATTTTAAGAGTAAAGTCTTAAAATTTTTGCCACCATTGGAAATTTGTTTTGTGTCTGTAATAGTTTGGAATAAGACCAAAGCTATGAAAAAGTCTTAAGACTTAGCATTATTTCTGAATGTGTGTGTATATACACCACGCAACAAATATCAACAACTGTGAGTCACTGTGCATCTTAAAATAGATTGCAATTGGGATGGGATGAGATGGGATTGGAGACACTCAAAGAAAAGAGGTAAACTTGTTTTTCAAAAATGTTTTATGTCATAGGAGCATTTCAAGGGATCCTTATGCCATTCCTATGCAATAGGCAAAATGATTTCCACTTGGCAAGAGGTAAACTTGTTTTTCAAAAATGTTTTATGTCATAGGCACATTTCAAGAGACCTTATGCCATTCCTCTGCAATAGGCAAAATGATTTCCACTTGGTACATTAGGTTTGTAGCTACTAGTAAAAGAGCTGAGATTCATGCCTAGGGTTTGTATGGCTTTCACACTGACTCTCAGGTGAAGGGCTCATTTTGAAATAGAACAGAAACCCTTGTTTTTCAAAAATGTTTTATGTCATAGGCACATTTCAAGAGACCTTATGCCATTCCTCTGCAATAGGCAAAATGATTTCCACTTGGTACATTAGGTTTGTAGCTACTAGTAAAAGAGCTGAGATTCATGCCTAGGGTTTGTATGGCTTTCACACTGACTCTCAGGTGAAGGGCTCATTTTGAAATAGAACAGAAACCTCTACTGGGGAAAAGAAAACAGGAGAAGGATGGCTGACAGTCATTTTCAGGAGCTGAGAAACTCACCTAGGATCTTTGCTCTTTCAAACAAATAACAAAAAGAGTTATCTTCAAGGAATAAGAGGGATCTGAGTGGACAGGAAGTCATTACAGTAGCTACAACATGGTAATTGATTGGTGGGGTAGCCCAGCCACAAACAACAGAACTCGGTGAAGATAGAGTCTGGGAACAACCAGATCCATCCCAGAAGTTTGCAAGGTGAAGATCCAAGACTAGCCTACAGCTTCAAGGAATAAGAGGGATCTGAGTGGACAGGAAGTCATTACAGTAGCTACAACATGGTAATTGATTGGTGGGGTAGCCCAGTCACAAGCCTACAGGAGAAAGCTTATGCTTTAGAGCAGATTTCGTGGGCAAAAAAGGAGCTCAGCAGGGATGGAATCTCAATAAGGACTGAATAGCTCTGCCCCGTATCACACACACACACCCTACAGAAAATTTAAAATAAAATAGGAACGTCACAAAATCAGCTTCTATGGCTTTGTCATGGAAGATTTCTCTTTAATTTAGAGTGAATTTTCTTGGGAAAAATAAGAATTCCTTACCTCTTCCAAGCTTTGGATCTTGTGGATGATTTTAGAGCGTATGTTCCCCTAATAGAGTGATAGCGCTAACAGGAAGGTATCCTGGGCCCAGGGACAAGAGGAATTAGGGATGAGGGCTTGGTCAGGAAAACAAGACAAAGGAAACCAGGTTCGAAGCAGTAACTGTAAATAATAGGGTGACAGATGAAGAAGGCGTATTACTTCACTAAGAGTGGAGCTCCGCTCTGAAGGCTTGGTAGGATACAGATAAGTAAAAATGAGATGCCCAAATTTCTCAGAAATCTAGAGGTCTGATTGGCATGGAACTTACAGTCTAGAACACAACCACAGGATGTGTTCCACCTGACGTGGCTGGGTGGCCATGTCCTTGAAGCTGGCCTCCGCAGGCAGCAGGTGAGATGCTAGGGCAGGCTGTCCCAGGAGCGCAGTGATAAGTGTCAGGATATTCCAGCAGTTAAATAAACAAAACAAAATAAGGACCAAGGCCTCAGCCGTTCTCCTCTTGCCCACAGGGATCAAGAGGTTCAAAGGTCAATACATCCACAGCCAGGAATACAAGAGTCCAGAGAAATTTCGGGAGAAGAAAATCGTGGTGGTCGGTATCGGAAATTCTGGAGCTGATTTGGCGGTTGAGCTCAGTCATGTAGCCGCACAGGTTTGGCTCTGCCCATTCTCCACCTTCGAGTGCGAGGGCAGCTGACGCCGAGACGTCAGCACAGGATGAAGTGTGCGGTGTGACCCGCGCTGCTCAGTCCTGTGCATCTCCTCTTCACGTCTGGTCTCTTGGTAGACATTTTGGTCATCTATTACAAAGGAAAAAACAAGACTGGAATAAAAGTGATGACTAAATTGCTAACATTTACTAAAAGTGGAGGTTTCCTTGGCTCAGCCAAGAGTTTCACGTTTAAATGGACCAAGAGACCATTTTTAAGATTTTGCTTAGTTTTTAATTGACATGACATTTGACCTCTCACAGCGCTGACCCCTTTCCTAATTGGTTTGTACAGACATGATTAGCAGTGTTCTGGGTACTGTGATGCTGTCATTAGCAAATGGATGGGATCTTAGGTGTCAGTTCGCTGGTTTCTAGTCTTCTTACATCATTTTGTTTGTCTGGAATTTGGACCTTAAGAGACTACAAGCAGAGGACAGTGCTTTCGAGAAAGTTCAAAGGGCTAGTGCATGATCTTCAGAGGGAGGCTGGGGTGGGTCTCTGGAGCTCTCAGCACCAGGTCACGTGTATCGGTGTGAGTGCGAGAGTCTGGGTGTCACTCTGTCAGTCTACCTGAATTTGAGAAGAGAGGAATGCTTTAGGCTAAAAAGTCAAGTGATTTCTTATCCACTTCTCCTTCTGTGCCAAATAAGAGATCTTGAAAGGCTGACAAGAGCTTCCTTTGAAAGGAAATACATTGTGTGGTGGTCATTCTTCATATATTTGCATTCTCTCTTAGGTGTTTCTCAGCACAAGACGGGGTGCATGGATTTGGAACCGGGTCTGGGACTATGGGATGCCCATGGACACAGTCCTCTTCACTCGTTTTAACTCTGTGTTCAACAAAATTTACCCAGCGTTCTTAATCAACCGGTGGGCAGAGAATAAATTAAATGCTCGATTTAACCATGAAGTTTATGGTTTGCAACCCCAACACAGGTATGTTCTACAATTTATTTATGGTTTTTTTTATTTTTATTTTTATTTTTTTTGGAGAGATTTTCACTGTAGGGCGCGTGCGCTCGCCAGACAGACAGAGAGAGACATAGAGACAGAAAGCAAGAAATCACCCCCCAGGGGGGATGGTCACACCGCAATCCCTTCTCCTCCATTCTCCTCTCGGGATCTTGGGCACACATGCACACACGCCTGGCGTGAGTTTTAAGCCACTGGGTTCGGGACGCAAACCGCAGTCGACTACGTGGGAGTCCAGCAACATAGCCATTACGCTAACTGCTGGTTCCCTACAATTTTTAAAAAATAATTTGACTTCTACCTTTTGGGGCGAGCAGGACAGACTTGGGACTTAGAGCTGGTTTAGAGTCCTTGTTCAGCACCTTGAAAATAGACTCAACTATCTTAGGAGGATGTTAATCCTTGTCTCTTCTCTTGCTTCTTTGGGTCATTCTACTCACTTACCTTAGAGGAATGAAATCAAGTTTCGGGAAGATGGTAGGAGCTTTATCTGTCCTGCCCTTCAGACTCAGACAACTGTTCACTTCTTTAGAACCCACAGCCTTCATGGGATAGACCAGCAAGAGATGGTGTATTATGTCATAAAAGTCAACTCCAGTTTTTCCCAGGACAAAAGGAAAATTGGGAATCTGTTAATAGAAAGCAATAAGAGGAGAGATTCTGGAGAGGGGAAATCCTTTGAAATGCAACTTACAATTTCTTTACTGTGCATAGAACTCTGGGACCACAGCTGTGATTCGGAGCCCAGCTTCACCGTTTACTGACTGTGTGCTATTGGCGAGTGTACTTAACTCGTGCTTCATTGTCCTTACATAAGATGGGGATAATGTTAGTGCCAAAGCAGAGGGCTGTTTGGAATATTTTTTAATTATTTATTTTATTTTATTTATCATTGTTGTTTTAAAATTTTGATGTGGGGCACATGTGCTTATCAGAGAGAGACAAACAGAGAGAGAGAAGGAAAATGAGAAAACAAGCCTCCAGGTCCAGAACTTGAACTGAGATCAGCCATGTGGGAGTCCAGTGCCCTAACCATCATACCACCTGGTGGTCCCCTGTCGGGAGTATTAAATAAGAAAATAAATGCATAGCTTATACTGGTATCTGACATACAGTCAATGCTCAACAATTTGCATTGTTTTATATTGTCAGTTTTCCAACTCTTTTAAAGCATATCCATGGCATTTTATTTAAAGAGGTAACAGTGATAACATGAAAGGGCCAATGCTATTAAAAGAAGGATTCACATTTCTTTTCTGTTTCCCAAGAAATTCCAAAAAAAGTGTAGGGCCATGTGGGGAGTGCCAGGTCTGGCCAGAAAGAAGCAGGACAAGGTAGAGAGGGAGGAAACTCAATAGGAAGAAGAGGAAATAGGAAGGAGAAAGTACCAAAAAGGTCAAGTGTCAAATTTTATTGGAGCACCTCGTGTGTACTTACTGTATATGTGAGTTAAAATGAGCCGATCTGCTTCCATGCCCCAACACTCAAGGCAGTTAAGGCTCATCAGGAGGTGTGCTGTGAACAAGAAAAGATCATCCAGCTTGCGTACAAAGGCGTTCTTGTCTGCCTCGGAGATGTAGTGTTCTTTTTCAAATGCCAAGCCTCAAAAAAAAAAAAAAAATGCATTCTGGAGCCAGAACAATCTTCTGAGAGGGACAATGAAAGCGATGAAGGAAGACTGAAGGTCCCCCATGAAGACACAGTAAAAGCCTGCACATCTAATGAGGAAGAGGGAGAGGAAGGTGGAGTTCACCAAATGCTGTGTAAGAGCCAACAGGAAATACCCCTGGAGCTCTAAGAAGCAAAATTTGGGACAAATGTAAACATTCGATGGTTAATATAAATAGAGGTGATAGAATAAAGCCTTGCTTCAAAATGTTAGGAAAGAAAAAATAAGAAAACTTTTCCCTTTAGTGAATATTTACTCAAGTATTATATATGGAATATAAGTATATTTCAGTTAAAAATACTTCATTAGGGGGCCAGCAGGTGGCATAGTGGTTAAGGTGTTGGACTCCTACATGGCTAACTGTGGCTTGAGTCCCCAACCTGGCAGCTTGACTTTCTTACTTTTCCTCTCTCTTTAGTGTGTGTACATGCCCTATAGAAAACGTTAAAATAATAATAATAAAGTTAAATAAATAATTATTTAAAAATACTTCATTAAAACTATAAATTCATTTTGTCGTTGTGGGAGAAAAGATTAGATAGATAGATAGATAGATAGATAGATAGATAGATAGATATAGATAGATAGACAGACAGATAGATACCAGCAGATAGCACAATGGATATGTCACTGGACTCCCATGTAGTTGACGGTAGCTCAAGTTCTGGACCCAGTGGCTTGAAACTCATACCAGGTACATGTGCGTGCATGGCCTCAAGAGAAGAATGGAGGAGAAGGGATTGCTGTGTGGCCATCCCCCACAGGGGGGTAGGATTTCTCACCTTCTGTCTCGTTGTATCTCTCTGTCTCTCTGGTTAATGCATGTACCCTATAGAAAAAATTTCTCTCTGAAAAAAAAGATAGGTAGATATCATACATATATATGATATATGATATATATATAACTATATGTGTATATATGTATATATACACACACTTCACAAAAAAATGTTTGTGCTACTGTGAGAGTTAGCATAATGGGCAGTTTGACAGAAAGTGTGGTAAAATATCAGTGGCTCTGCCATCGCCAGCCCTGGCTTACCAAATGCCTGGTGCTTTATTAATGCATTAGATCTCCACGTAACCTGTAGGAGTGATGCATTCTCTCTCTTTTTGGTGTCGGTAAGTGCAGTCTACCTGTCTGTTGGGAGTATAAATGGAGAAACACATAAAATTGCCTATCTATACAAACTAGATAAAGTCAATCAATATTTTTTGAGTTCCTGCTGTGGTCAAGTAGGGTTCTGGGTACTGGGAAGGAATGCTGGCTGTGCCCGATGGTATCCTAGCTCTCGCTGGGCCCCCTTTCTAATAGGAGAGAAGCCGATGAGTCAATATATAATGTCAGAACACGAGCGAGTGCATGCCGTGTAGGAACGCAAGCAGGCTTGGGAATAGGGAGAGACCGGGAGCTGCCTCACAGATGGAGTGGCTCCATTCGAATAGGGATCTGTAACAAGTGTCTGGGGGACCCCTGTAGAGAGAGAATAACCCCTATAGGAGAGAATACCATTTCAGGCAGAAAAAACACCAAGTTCAAAGACAAGAGTAAGCATGATTTGTTCAAGGAAGATCAACGGGTCAGGTGTAGCTGGAGAACTTGGGAAGGGAGGCAGAAGAAAATGAGTTCAGAAAGACGGGATGGGTAAGTCACCTAGAACTTTGCAGGACGAGAACACGAGGATGGGTAAGTCACCTAGAACTTTGCAGGACCAGAGCATGGTGGTGACTTCATTTCTTATTTTTCAGTGAAATATTAATAGAAAACCGTTGAGTAGCATTTCCATGTTTTCAAAGGACCACTGAAGCTGCTGGATGAAGGGGAAATTGTATGGGGGTGAGGGTAGGAGCAGGATGTGTTAGTGGTAGATATTCTGGTAAGGTTTATGAACATGCCATGTAGGTTCTCAAAATAAAATGAAAATCAGGTCCAGCTGGTGCCGCAGTGGTAAAATGCTATGCTCTGCAAGGCATTCTCATATGGGAGGGTTCATGGTTCGAGTCCGAAGAACTCCTTGAGTAAATAGAGCACACAGTGCCCGTGATCCTGGGCTGGCTGAAAGCTAGGGGTGGATCCTGGCATCAAGATCCTTTTGGGGGCTCTCTCTCTCTCTCCCCTTTTCTCGCCTCCCTCTTTTTCTCTCTTCTCATAGAGGAAATAATTTATAAATTAATTAACTAAATGAAATCAGAATGTGATCCGAGGTTTGTTTCTGTTCCAATACGAACACCTTGGTGATTTTTTCAAACTTTTTTCTTTTTAAAGAGAGATTTTTGCCTTAAGGCACAAACACTTGCTGGAGAGATAGAAACAGAAAGAGAGAAATCACCCCCCAGGGACGATGGCCACACCACAGTCCCTTCCCTTCTCCTCTCGGGATTTTGTTGGACATGCCTGGCATGAGTTTAAGCCACTGGGTCCAAGACTTGAATCACAGTTGACTATATGGGAGTCCAGTGATGTAACCATTATGCCATCTGCTCGTCCCGAAATTTTTTCAAACTTTCAAAAAAATTATTTTCAAGAAGTTAGGTACCATATATCATTAAAATATGCTATTTATCACTTTTCAAAAATCTTTTTGCAAATAGCAGGCATTAATAAATATTATTAGCTTTCTGATAAACACAAAATATTTATTTGGTTAAAGTTCAGGAAGAGCACTGAGGAAAACCAATCTTTTGGGAAACAGAAATGTAATTCTTCTATTAAGCCTTTTCTTAGCTCAGCTCCTTTCCAACTTACACGCAAAGTGATGTCCAGTGATTAAATGCATAAAATGAAACATACTTTTAGAAGCGTTATAAGCTTTTCCAGACTTTCATTTTCATTCTTTAGATTTCTGAGCCACCAAGCTACTATCAGTGATGACCTGCCCAACCACATAATTTCTGGACAAGTTCTGATGAAGCCGAACGTGAGGGAGTTCACTGAGACGTCGGCCATCTTTGAAGACGGCACAGAAGAGGACATCGACATTATCATCTTTGCCACTGGATATACTTTCTGTTTTCCTTTTTTGGAAAATGATCCCACAGTTCTGGACAACCAGCGTTCTATGTTTAAATTTGTGTTCCCCCCGCAGCTGGAGAAGCCGACACTAGCGTTTATTGGCATCCTCCAGCCAGTGGGAGCCACTATTCCCACGTCGGAAATGCAGAGCCGGTGGGCGGCCCGCATATTCAAGGGTACGTGCTGACCTGCTGACCCTGTGCGTGTTTAGAAAAAGTCGCCATCCAGTGGTGCGATGTCAGAGGCATTGGAAGGTTCTGCTGAGGCAAAATCTCTCTGCAGTTACCTTTCACGGTGTCTGAAATTCTGTCACTTCTGAGATCTGTTACTTCATTTATTTCATCTTTAGGATTCCTATATGAAAATTTAAAATACAACTACCTCAAAACTACGACCTTAAGCTACTGGGCCATCAGAAAAGCCATGACATATTTTTGCATAGAAAAACTACATCATGACTTTTCCGACAACCCAGTATTATCAAAGGACAACTCACTGGCAAATAATTCTCTTTTTTGGGGGGAGGGGGTGGGGAGAGGAGAGATTTTTGCTATAGGGCACATGCGCTTACCAGGGAGACAGAAAGCAAGAAATCACCCTTTGGGGGCTGGTCACACCACAATCCCTTCTCCATTCTCCTCTCGGGATTTTGGGGCATGCACACGCGCCTGGCATGAGATTTAAGTCGCCGGATCTGGAACTCGAACTGCAGTTGATGACGTGGGAGTCCAGCCACGTAACTGTTACACCATCTACTGGTCCCAGCAATAATTCTGCAGAGCTCTGCAAGGGTGCGTTAGTATAGTGACAGTCAGAGAGAGCTCACCCTCAGGCAGGAGTCTGTCTACCCTACTCGCTGCTTCACCTTCCATGGTTCTAGTTACCTGCCGTCAGCCAGGGTCGGGAAAGAGGTGAGAACAGAGAGAGAGAGACAGAGAGGGAGACAGAGAGAGAGGGGGACCACCTTCATGTAACTTTTACCATCCGATACGGTTATAATTGTTCTATTTTATCATTGGTTACTGTTACTATAATCTCCAACTGTGCCTGATCCATGGCTTGTACTTAATCACGGAAAATCACAGTCTATGTAGGGGTCAGTGCTGTCCGTGGTTCCAGTCATCATCCCATGGAGGTTTCGGGACACGTCCCTCCTGGTTTTACAAATGAGGACACTGCAAAGGGCAAGTACCCTGTCACTGTCATGTGGCCAGTGGTTTCAAAGCCAGGTTGACTTGCTCATGGAGCCTTGCCCTTTATTGTGCTGTGGCACGGCTCCGGTGGCCCTGTGACCCCAGCATGTTCACCCACATCCTCATTACATTTTGAATGGATGCTTGAGAGATAGGCAAAAAATATTCTCCCTTTCATTTGGGGATAGTCCAGAATGACCCTAGCAACACTGGCAAATAGTTTACCTGTTACTTCCCATCAATACTAGCCTATTGGGACCAGCAGATAGTAATAGCTAAGTTACTGAACTCCCACAGAGTCGACCACGGTTCGAATCCTGGACCCGGTGGCTTAAACTCACGCTGGGCGCATGTGCATGCGTGCCCACGATCCCAGGAGGAGAAAGGATTGCGGCATGGCCATCCTCCCTGGGGGGTGATTTCTCACTTTCTATCTCTCTATCTCTCCCTGTCTTTCTGGCGACACACATGCCCTATAGCAAAAACCTCTCCAAAAAAAAAAAAAAATGCTAGCCTATCTCCTTTGCAGGGAGGTAAGAATTAACAATTAACTTTGACTTTGTTTTTAAATTTTTAATTGAGCAGTAACAGTTGTACATGTTTGGGGGTAGAGTGATTTTCCAGTACATGAATACAACTGTAATGATAAACTCAGTAGTTGGCGTAGCCATCATCTCAAACGTTCATCGTTACTTTGGGTTGGGAACATGCAAAATCCTCTCCTCTGGCTATTTTGAAATATTCAGTAAATTATTACTAACTATGATTAACCTATGGAAGCACTTTGACTTTTGTAGGCATTCAATAAATATTGACTAAGTGGAGGTTAGCCATTGTTGTAATTATTTATTATTATTTATTGTATCATTAATTCTAAGGTTGAGAATGAATTGGTAGCAACACATTCAAAACCTACTTTTATGAAATGAATCACATTGTAATAATTCTGCTCATTTGTCTCCTTTAAAGAATTTCCCATTTTTTCCCATAACATTCTGTTTCTCAAAACATAGAATTCACCCATTTTAGGAAGGAAGGGCAGTTGTAGAAGGGTGATTTTCATGAGATGAAATATAAAATTAGAGGGGCCAGCAGATGGTGTAATGGTTACATCATTGGACTCCCACATAGCTAACCATGGTTCAAGTCCCAGACCCGGAGGTTTGAAACTCATGTCGGGCATGTGTGTGTGTGTGTGTGTGTGTGTGTGTGTGTGTGTTTGTGTGCCCCAAATCCCAAGAGGAGACTGGAGGAGAAGGGATTGCAGAATGGCCATCCCTCTGGGGAGTGATCTCTCATTTTCTGTTTCTATGTCTCTCTCTGTCTCTCTGGCAAACACGCACACCCTGTAGCAAAAAGTCTGTCTTACAAAAAAGAGGAAGAAATAGAAGAGTAGGAATAAATATCTATCCAAAGAAAATAATTAGAAGACACTGAGACATTATCAGTAGCTACATCTGTATTTGTGAAGTAAGTCGGAGCATCAGTAAACAAGTATAACTCACTATTTAAGAGAGCCAGAGTGAATATTTGGGCAATGAGATTACAAACACACTAAGTTGTACTTATCAGTTGAGCAAGACTCTTTCCAGTTCATCCTTCACAGACTTTCAAGTCTTTTCATCAGGATTTGAACTCATCAGGCATGATAAGGGCACATGCTTGTGTCTGCTAAAACAATGAGCGCAGGGAACTCCAGAACAACTCCTGGATCCATCTTCTGCCGTCCGGTGCCACCTCATTCATGATGTTCTCCGCCAAACTGATCCTTGGGGCATCCATTCCTCCCTGAGACCACATCTTCTCAATAAGAAAGCCTTATTCGGGGCCCAAGTGGTGGTGCAGTGATGATGTAACGAACTCACATGGGAAGGTGCCAAGTTCACATCCTAGGACCTCCCTAGGCGTGCCAGGCACACTCGTCTGTGATCCAGGCTGGCGGAGCCTAGGGCTAGATCACGTTATAAAGATGCTGTTGAGGTGCATGTCTCTTCCTT